GACGGAGCAGGGCGCTGAAGGTGAACCCGTCGGGGGCGAGCGCCCCGGAGCGGCGCAAGGCGGCGAAGAGCGCCCAGGCCTGGCGCGGGAGGCCGTGGGCGGCGTAGCAGGAGACCATGGCGTTGCAGAGGACCAGGTCCCTGCGCGGCGGCGGTGTTTCGTCGAACACGCGGCGCGCGTGCGCGACCAGGCCCGACCGCGCGTACGCCACGGCGAGCGCGGTCGCCACGCGGGTCTCCGAGGCTCGCCCGGACTTGAGGGCCAGCGGGTGGAGCGTCCGCGCTGCGCAGGCGCGCCGGTGGTGGCGGGCGCCGCCGGAGACGGAGATGGAGCTGGCGCGGAGTAGCAGGGCAAGGAGGTCGCGCCGCATCTCATTCGTTCCAGAGCTGACAGTGCGGCGGGCGGTGGCTTCATCGGTCATCGCTGGTGATGTGGACCATGCGCATAGAACGAAAGGGCCCGGACGAGCAGCAGGCAGAGGGTGCCCTGCCCCTGCTGCAGCCGGCATGTCTGCAGGACAAGAACACGGAAGCGCCCGAGCTGGCTAGCGAGGCCAGCGACGGCGCGCACACGAGAGCGATGCGCTCCATGGTACCCTGGGTTAATTGATACTCGATCCTTTCCCAATTATTTGAGGTTTTGACTTTTCTAGATTTATTATTTTTATTACGTATTTAGATATATATTATGTATAGATGTATAGTAAAAATAATATACCTAGAAAAGCTAAGACGTTTTATAATTTAGAATTGAGGGTACATGTCATTAGCCACACTGTCACACCTAAATTTAGTTGAATTTGGTCAAGTTAGCAATTGTTTGGTTGTAACCATAGACTTTGATAAGATTATTTTTACTTTTTTTTCCCATCGGCTCATTCCTCACGTGTCAGTTATTACAAAAAAAATTATATGGCAAAATTCTCCTAGGCTAGCTAAGGTGTGACGACCAATTTGATGAACTAACCTTTAGTCAAATTTGGCAAGAAATTGTGACAAACGCTGGCATTCTTAGTTCAACTCTCTGTTGCGACGCTATCCACCATGTTCTCTCTCGTTCAGTCTGTTTGCTGTTGCTAGGTCTACAACATCTACTCATTAACAGCAGTTGTTGTCCGTCTATCATTTTCCACCAAACAATATAATCGCGCCAATTCAATAATTTTCGTTCTCCATAAATCTACTTGACAAGGGAGTCGGATCCGACTCAACTATTGCAATGGCGCTTTTGGAACACGTGTGGCCATTATGAATAACTTTGAGCCAAATGCTTTTCCTCTTCGGTATAAGTTGCCTTGCTCTAGTGGTACAGGTCGATTCGTGACAATCCAATTAGAATGTTGGTTCCATTTAGAAAGGCCACTTGAGAATTGGATGGGTTTACCTGAGTCCATGTAAACTACCAAGAAAAAGTGTGGTTTCATACTTTCATCCATTTAACCATTAGAAATGGTCTATGTGGACTCAAGGAATCGAGTGTCGAGTCGTAGGCGGCGTGAGTCTCATAGAGAGAATGAATGAAACCGCATCTAAAAGTTGATGGCATCCCAAAAAAATCAAGTTAGTGTCGCATGTGAGAGTAGGAGTTACTCCACTCGCTCACTTGATACTGTACAATGTTATGCACATATATCCAACAAATAAAATGTTTGAGTGAAAATTTTTACTAGCCGACCTAGCTCAGTGGTAGAGCGCGTGGCTTTTAACCACGTGGTCGTGGGTTCGATCCCCACGGTCGGCGTTTTTTAGCATTCTTCTCAACAATGCGTTTTTTTGCATATAGTATAGAATTTGTTTTTGAAGAAACATCTGTCATGTCTCTGCCGCTGCAAATACAACTTTCCAAAAACCATTCCAAAATTCATCCGAGTGCGTAAATTGTAAACATAACTTTTCCAGATATATACAAAAACCTATTTTATAAAAAAAATAATTTTGACGATGTGTTTAGTGCCTAATACCAAAACTAATAGGAGCGAGACACCACTTCGGATTTTTTCAGTTACAAGTTTTAAGCAAATGCCCTACAGTGTCCCCCAAGTGTTTATTTTTCTCATTTCTACAAAAAATAATCTTTACACTACCAAGATTAAAAAACTCAGAAAGAAAGTTTCAATCAATAAAGAATACCATGGCCCTAGTAGGACCTAACTAAATAATGTTTGTGTTTTTGTTTATAATAAAAATCAAATCTCAAAAAGATAGTTTAAATCAATAAAAAATTGAAATACTGAAAACATCGAAGATACCATGGTCCTTGTAGGACCTAAAGCTAACAGGTGCTTTGTGTCTTTTGCTTTAAAGTCGGGATCAGATGGTAAAATCATTGGGGGTGCCCCTGTTGTCGTAACAGGCTTAGTTGGGGCGGTCACCCCTCTCGCATAGTAATTGCGAGCTTATACCACTCCTCATCTCCCTTTAACTGCCTGAAGGATCATGCTTTGGAACGGCCGCACCCCGGACCTCTTTAATGCAGCCGCTGGTGTGCGACCTGCTGAGCTCCACCGATGTGGGACTAAAATGCTCCACTCCCACTGTGCCGTGCTACTGACAGTGGCAGTGGCAGTGGCAGCCGAGCAGCCTGGTGCGAATCGGACGGAGCACGCCGATGGGCCATGGACTGGCCAGGCCTATTTAAATTTAAATGGGCTGAGAATTCTATTCAGCCACATCGGGCCCGGCTCGACTTGGCCTGCTCAGTTCGTAGTGCGCTGTGCCGCTTCCTTTTGGTTCAAACATGAATCCCATCCCGGTCGAGTGAATTGCTGCATTCCCCAGTTTAATTTTTAAGATAAATCATAAAAAAAATTCCAGGAAACACAGCATTTTGATCATTTCTTTCTCTGAGTAGACTACTCTTTTTATCAGAATGAGAAAAGCTTACAACAACCAGCTTCAAATCCTAGCCGTACGAGGATCAGGAAAAAGATTACACATTTTGCTCTCGAAATACTATTTTCCCTTTGTACTAACATCGGGAATGTTACCCCATCCGATGAACATTTAATGGCCTTGTTCGCTTGTCGTACTGTTTTAATGAAGGAACAGTGTTTTTCTCTTACAACAAATCGGTGAACAGTACTTTTAGCCATAGCTTTTTAGCGAAGGGAACAAGACCAATATCACGAAAAACGAAGCATGCTAAATCCGAATTTCTTCGCTCTGATCTCTCTTCCTCTACCTAATCGGCAACAAGGTATTCATCCTCTGGCTTAGTTTGATAGGCTAATGATAGGATTGGAACATAGGTTGCATAACTCTTTTACTATAGAGATAGCACTACACCTAGTAAAATCTTAGTTGCGCATCTAGATAGATTATTTATTGCATAGGTTTTGACTAGGTGGAAATTAGAGGTCATAGTTTTAGAAATGGTTTTTAAGTTGCCTAATTTAACCCCGCTCTTAGACGTCACGATCCCTTCATGGGTGTAGATCCATGGATTTCGTGGAACTGCCCTATTATGGATCTACGTGGAGCTTGAAGTGTTTGGATTAAAAGGAGCCATAAATTGGTACCCATAGAAGCTTGAAAATGAGCTAGAGGTAGAAGATAATAAGAGAAGCCCCTCCTAAATTAATCTTCTAGATCCGGCACTGCATAAGATCATCGTATATTACATGCTCACATTATTTTACATTAAGAGAGACATCATATGTTACAAAGCTCATAGCAAAATACAAAGTGCAACAAAGGTCCAAAAGCCCAATCACAAACACAAACACAAACATGAAGTTCCATACACCCTACAAGCTAGTGCACATGTGGCTCATAAGAGACAAGTAAAAGTTTGAGACTCAATTCTTCTCAACTCATTCTCTTCATAGATCTTCATCATCACTAAAACCGCTATAGAGGCGCTAACGCTATCCTATTTAGCGGCGCTTACTATAGCGGCCTTAGCTGCGATAGCGGTGGAATATGCAAATTCTTATCGATATGTAGTTGAAAACGCTATAGCGATGCATACAAAGTGAGGGCAACTTTTTCTTTTTCCCTTTTGACATGATTGTCTATAATATCCATCAAATTTGATTTCGGATATAGGAGGATTATTACTTTTTCTTGTGACCCGGGGCACAAAAAAAATGAAGAAATACTCGTCGGATCTAGTGCCAACTCAAAAAGAAATGATTAACAAAGTGTGTGGAAGATGGGCAAAACGTTGAGTAATTTGACAGGATTCATTATGATACCCACCAACTACCAACTTACAGCCTCGGTTGGCTGGTTCATATCGTTGCTGGTTCGTGAAGAAGAACTGCTGGCTGGTTTGTGTAAGAGAAAAATACTATTCCGGCTAAAAATTTATGATCGTTTACGACAAGCCACAGCCAATCGAACAGGCTGTTATGCGTTAGCATAGTTATGAACCACGCCGCTTTGTCGTACTGACGAGAGGGCAGTTTCAGCTAATTGCATGTACAAAAATCAAATATATAACATTTGTGCTTGGGTTGAACCAAAAAAAGGGTATAAAATCAAATATATATTATTTGTGCTTGAGCTGAACATAAAAGGGGGTGTAGCTCAAATGGTAGAGCGCTCGCTTTGCATGCGAGAGGCACGGGGTTCGATCCCCCGCATCTCCATTTATTTTGCTTTTGTAGATGCATTTTTTCCTTTTTATTTTTATTTGCTTATTATTAGATCATGGCCCTTTTGTGTATTTGTAAATGCCTTTTCGTTTCTTTTTCTTTTTAATTTGCTTATTATTCCACTTTCCAAGCAAGGGCAGGACATTTGAGAGTTGCGGACACCTTCATTTGCTTAATCACATGCATTTTTTAGCTTAAGATTCCAGTCTCCAAAAGTTGCATTCAAAATCTATTTTTGAACGAAAGGAAGTTTCATCCGATCTCCACATCAACCAAACACAAACACTGCCGTTCACAACTGACAAGATTCACACAGGTTATAATCAGGCTACACAGGCGTCAACAATAAGCACACCAGAAAAACGCGGGATCCCAACTCCCAAGTCCCAAGGCGAAGCGAATTTCACCGCGCGGGCAAGGCCGCGGCGAGCTGCACCACAAGCTTCCCGCCGCCGCCGCCCCTGCGCGCCAGCACGAGGGCTACAACGACGGCGACGGCAACGCCGACGAGCAGCAGTGCCGCGATCCCGCCGGCCAGGCAGACCCGCCTCCGGCGCGCGGCGCCCTGCAGCCGGCGGGCCTCCCGCAGCTCCGCCTCGGCCGCGGCCACGTCGCCGGCCGCCGCGCCCACCTGCCGCTCGATGTCGTCCAGCGGCGCGCCCTGGGCCTCCACGAGCGCGGCCATGTCCAGGAACAGCTGCTGGAGCTCCACGAGGCCGCGCTCCACCTCCGCCACCTCCTTCGCGGTCTCCTCCTGCTCCGCGCCTGCGGCGGACAGCAGTGCCGCCCGCATCGCCGTGTCGGAGGGATCCTCGGTGCTGCTGGGGAGGAGGAGGCGGTCCAGCTGCTCCTCGCTCGGCGCGTCTCCGGCCACGGCGAGGTACCGGCGGTCCGCGGAGACCTGCCGCCGGCGCCCACCACGGCGTTCTTGGACGCCTCGTGCGCGGATCGGAGATGGGACAGCTCGTCGCGCAGCGCGGCCATCTCGGTCTTTGCGGCGTCTGCCTTGACCAGGAACGCGCCGAGCTCCGGGTCGTCGCTGCCGCCGGCGGGGGCGGCCGCGGCCGCGCCGCCCTGTTGCGCCTTGGCCGTGGCGCGACGAAGGAGTCGGTCATGAGGTCGTTCATCCTGGCTGGCCGGGTGCCGGAGCGGGTTGCAAGATGGACCTTCGCTGGCCGGTGTCGGAGCTGGTTGCGAGATGGATCTTTTGGTGTGGTCAAATTTCAATCTCAAATGGTAGCTGACAAAAGCAAGATTTTTTCTGCATTTAATCAAGTAGGCTGTGCTTATTGCCAGATCTAGCTAGTGTAGTGGCCTAGTGGCACGTATCCTTCTTTTCTATTTTTTTAATCATCAAGCACGATATCTCTCCAACACCCCTCATGGAACATCAAAAGAAATGCTACACTACTGAAGGCCATGCAAGACTTCCATTTTCAGACTCCCCATTTTAAGCGGAACAAGATACGGAAGATCCAGCCCGTTTGGCTGGTACACAAAACTACGATGTACGGGCTGGTTTTGGTTGGTTTCAGCTGATTCAATAGTGTTCTGAGAGAGAGATTAAGCTGAAACAAGCGAGACAAGTCGAGCCAAACGGGCTGATCAATTGTAACTGAACTACGATAGATCAACGATAGTTTTGAGGTATTTCTGGGTGGAAACTCGATCGGTAGCCGGCCGATCAACGAGATTGCCGCACGCCGCCGCTGCCGTCGCCTTCAGGCACGGTCAGGTTCTCATTTGAGTTCGAGTCCTTCATGGTTCTCATTTTGCATTACAAAGGAAACCGCAATGGGCTGCCTCATTCTTAGGCCACGCAGGCTCCCTCAATTGATCTAGTTCGGCCCATAGGCCCGGCGCTGGGCTTCCTTGTACGCGCGAGCCCAGGCGCCCTTCTCGTCGAGTCTTCATTAGAGCTCGCTCCCTTCTCTTTTCCTCCGCTGGAGTCAGCAAGATCGCTCCTAGCAGTAGTGGTCGTCGTGCCGTCGGTGACATCCCGCCCTCTTTGAGAACCAGCTTGTTCCTATGCTGGTGCGCGCGGGAACTATTGACGTAGAGGTTCTTCATCTTCCCAGGTGGAGAGTGCGTCGCGGAGGTAGGACCAGCATACCAAGACTTGAGTAATCATTGTGTCATTTTGCTGACGAAGCCGGCGATCCAGGATTGCTTGCGGAACCTGCAACTGATTAGTAATATCAGGAAGTTATGTACTTACGACTGTAGTAGATGGAACCGCCTTCTTTAATTGGGATACACGAAACACTGGATGTATAAGACAATAAGGTGGAAGTTGCAGACGATATGCAGACTGACCGATCTTCTCAATTATAAGAAATGGCCCAAAGAAGCGAAAAGCCAATTTGTTGGAGGATATCTGAGCTAAGGAGGTCTGCACATAAGGTTGAGCTTTCAGATAGACCAAGTCACCTGGTTGAAAAGATCTTAGGGATCTATGCTTGTCGGCCTGCGCTTTCATTTTGTTTTGAGCTCGAACAAGATGCTGACGCACCAGAGACTGCATAAGTGCTCTTTCTTCTAACCAACCTTGAAGATCAGTGGACTTGCAAGCTTGAGATATGTCAATACCGAAGTGTTTTGGTTCATGGCCATAAAGGACTAGAAATGGACTTTGGCCAAGAGAAGAATGAAATGATGTGTTATACCAATATTCTACCAATGCTAGCCACTATGACCACTTTGTAGGACAAGCATGCACAAAACACCGAAGATAGGTTTCAAGACATTGGTTAACACGTTCAGTTTGGCCATCTGTTTGTGGGTGGTATGCACTACTCATTCTTATATCTGTGTCAAGCAATTTGAACAACTCTTGCCAAATATTGCTGGTGAAGATTTTATCTCTATCAGAAATCATAATAGTGGGAAGGCCATGAAGTTTAAAGATGTGAGTCAGATAGATCACTTCCACTTGGAGAGCAGTGAAAAGGATGGGAAAGAGCCACAAAGTGAGCATATTTGGAGAATTTGTCTACGACTAGTATGCAATTGAAACCAACAGATTTAGGAAGACCCTCTATAAAATCAAATGTGACAGTATGCCAAGCATGGTCAGGGATGGGTAAAGGAGGCAACAAACCTGGGCAAGCCACTCTTTCTGTTTTAGCCTGCTGGCAAATGGTACACTGGGCTACAAAGTCTTGGACAGATTGTTTGAGCTTGAACCAGGACAAATAATTGTTTAACTCTCTTGTAAGTCACTTCATATCCTGAGTGGCCCCCAATAGCACTAGCATGTAATGAAGATAAGATCTTAGACTGCAGAGTTGGTTGAGAACCCACCCAAATCCTCTCCTTGTATCTAATGATACCATTCTTCAGTGAATAAAGCCCAATAGGAGAAGATATAGACAACTCAGATAATAACTTAGTAGCCTGAGGATCTGTAGTATAAGAGCCTTGAATTTCTTTAACCAGAGGGGTCTAATAATTGAGATGGCAGAAATGTCATAGGAAGGAGCTTGAGATACTCTTGAGAGGGCATCAGCCACCTTGTTTTCTATACTCTTCTTGTACACAATCTGGTAAGATAGACCCATCAATTTGGTGAGGGCTTTGTGTTGAATAGGGGTTGACAGCCTCTGATCATCTAGGTGAATAAGACTCTTTTAGTCTATGAGTATAGTGAAAGGAGAAAACTACAAATAGTGGTGCCAGTGATCTACTGCCATCAGGATGGCCAAGCATTCCTTTTCATAAGTTGATAGACCTTGAGCCTTGATCCCTAGTGCCTTGCTGACATAGGCAATGGGGTGTCCTTGTTGTTGTAGAACAACACCAATGCCTTTAGTGGATGCATCAGTCTCAATTGTAAATGGCAAAGAGAAATTGGGCAATGCAAGAACAGGGGCAGAAATAAGGGCCTTCTTGAGAGTTTGAAATGCAGCTTCTGTTTCAGATGTCCATACAAACAATGTGCCTTTCTCTAGAAGATTGGTAAGTGGTTTACACAACAACCCAAACTATGGCACAAATCTTCTATAGTAGCCCACCATGCCCAAAAAGCTTCTTAGATCTTTCTGATTTTGTTGTTGGGGCCATTCCTTAATAGAGACAATCTTGGAGGGATCAGTGGCAACTCCTTGACTACTCATAATGTGTCCAAGATAAGTCAATTGTTGCTTGGCAAATGAGCATTTGAACATCTTGACATGGAAATGGTTCTGTTGTAGTATAGTATGAACCTCTCTGATGTGTAAAAGATGATCTTCCCAAGACTTGCTATAAATTAGAATGTCATCTATAAACACAACCACACATTTCCTAAGTAAAGGAGCAAGTATCACATTCATAACTGTTTGAAAAGTGGCTAGTCCTCCTGTAACTCCATATGGCATGACCCAATACTCATAATGTCCATTGTGAGTTTGGAATGCAGTCTTGAACTCTTCACCAGGTGCCATTCTTATCTGGTGAAACCTAGAACAGAGGTCTAGAGATGTGAACCAAGAAGAGTCCTAAAGTTCTTCCATAAGTTCCTCTATTATAGGCAAAGGGTATTTGTTTTTTTGGGTGAGTGCATTCAGTCAACTGAAATGAACACATAAGCGCCAATCTCTAGTTTTCTTGCGCACCAGTAGAGCAAAAGAGGAGTAAGGACTGGTACTGGCTTGGATCCATCCCTTCTCTAGCATGTCAGCAATTTGAGTTTCTATTTTAGTCTTTTGATCTAGGTTGTATCTATATGGTCTTAGGCAAAATGGCTGAGCACCTTCTAAAAGTGGAATGGAGTGATCTCCAGGCCTTGTGGTGGTAATGATGTTGGTGGATCAAAAACATGTTTGAACTGATCAAGCAACTGTTGGAGATCAGTAGGTATTAACTGCCCAGGAGAGGTATTGGCTGATATTGCTTAAACTTGTACCAAATACAAAATGGAGTCTGTTTTGTCAAAAGCCACCAACTAATTGTGATAGACTGGAGGTCCCATTTGAACTTTAGAAGGAATTCCTTGAAGAGTAACCAACTGTGTAACACCCCGGGTGTTTAAATATTAAAAACCGGACATATCATCATATGCATTGCAAGGCATCGGTCATATTGCAAACTTTGATATGCATTCACTAAAACAAGTTTACCTTTATGTTACAAATATTGCTTGGTATTGTTTGAATCAAGTTCGAAATCTGTTTATTGATTTGAAATTCCGAAAACCCTGATTTTCAATATTTAAATCCTACCCTGAAAACCCATTTCAAAATCGAAGCACATTTTGGGGTTGAGTCTTAAAGCAAAGTTGTAGAGCTTGTTGAGTTGTACAAAGTTGGTTTTTGGAGTTTTCCAAGTTGTTTAGTAAAATTTGAAGTATTTTGAAAAGGCGAAATTCCTTAAATGTTCCCTTTTCGAATTCAAATTTGCATTTCAAAATATAGACCTAATTTGGATATGGTTATAAAAGCAAAGTTGTAGAACTTTTGATTTTCAACAACTTTTATTTTTGGAGATTTTTGAGTTGTTACAAAAATTTGGGAGTAATTTGAGTTTCAAACTAGATGGCAATTCTGTAATTTTGATGAACAGTGTTCACCGCTCTTGCTACATTGCTAGCGACCTTCGGTTCAGTTCCAGGCGCGCGCATGGACGTCCTCGGCTTCGTGCTGGCGCGGAGAAGTCTCCTGCATGGCTTCCTTGCGCTTCTGAGCCACGCTATTTAGCCTTGGCCGTCGCCGTTTGTCCCCGCTCCATTGCTCTGTTTTCTTCTCGTCGCCTTGTTCATCTCCGGCGAGCTCTCACCGTCGAACCAGTGACTCTGCCATCATAGCAAAGCGTCCATTAATTTCGCCTGCTCCTTACGCGCCTAGCCATCCTACTGCGGTTGCCTGATTCCGCCGAGAACCGCCGCTAGCAACCCTTCTTCCTCGCGGCCGGCAACCTCACCCGAGATTTCGTTTCACCGTGGCCAGCGTCATCCGGTGAGCCGTTGTCCTTGCTTGTTGTCCCTACAGCTTCGTCTTGATGCTGTGGTGCTTAATCCATTCTTGCTTGGTCAGTTTGCCCACTGCAGTCACCGGAACACCGTCGTCGACGAAGTCTGCTCCGCCGTGACCGCTGTCATCGTCGACCCGCGTCACCGTAGCCTCTCCGGCCTCGTTCTTTGCTTCTACACGTTCGAGGTGAGATGCTGATCCTTTCTAAGCGCTTAGTTTGACTGTTACCGGTCTTGTTTTGCCGGTGTAGTGTCGCCGAGACGCCGCGTCCGCCATGGCTGACGTCGAGCTAGTATAGGCCGTAATCAGTACAGATAGGGACGTCAATCGATGCGCCTAGTCTTGGTGATCGTTTTGGTACCTTGGCCGTCGCTATTGGACTCACCGTCGATGAGTTTATGTCGGTCAGTGCAGTCGCCGGCGTGGTCAAACGCGCGAGGTTAGGGATGACAGGTGGGACCCGATGTCAGTGACACAGCGTTTAAATTGGATTTTTTATTTTAGAATTGAATGAATAGTATCTGTTTTTGTTATTTTTGTGTAGATTTATTTAAAGCTCCAAAAATTATGAAAATTTTTGTGTGACCTCTCTGTGATGTATATTATTTAAGAAAAATATGAAATGTAATTTTTCAGTACTTTTTGAATGTGATAAAAATTGCTCAATTTATTAATAAATGGATTTCCATGATTTTTCTAGGCTGATTTAATTGTCCAAAAATTATGAAATTTGTTTTGCACTTAATTATCATGTGATAAACATTTACAAAAAATTTTAGGTCAGTTGGAACAAGTTGATTTATTTCATAATTCTTAATTAAATAATTAATTCATAAAAGCAAATAGTAACTTTTAATGATCTAGGTTTTGATTGAATTTTTGATTGAGTGATGTCCTTGGGTCATTAGTTGGTCATGATCCTTGGCAATTGATGTGAGTGTTATGAATATGGTTTGGTTAGTTTGGCTTGTAACTGTACCGCAAAGGAATGGTAACAACAGAAGGTGGAAAAGATGGGTCATGAGCTAAAAGTTGGTGGACAAGGTCACTGAATTATTCAACATATTCAGAGACTATGGTGATTTGCTTGATGTGGAAAAAATGGCGAATCAATTGGTTGTGTTCATCCTTATCAAACCTATTACATATGGCTAAGACAAAGGATTCCCAGGTCATTTTACTGATGGCTGTCTGCATTGTCTGAAACCAGAGCGCTACAGAACCGACAAGGCGCATGGTAGCTAAATGAACCCATAATCCCATATCAGTTTGGTAAACATCAAAGTAAGTTTCACAACGTTTGATCCATAAACGAGGATTTGTGCCATCAAACTTGTGAAATTCGGCCTCAGGGATGGGTGTAGCGGGTGGGTAGGGTGGGTAAGGAGGGTAGTAACGCCGATCATAGTGCCCCAAACCATTAGTGTGAGACAAAACAAGAGTGGATTTTAGAGGGGGTGTCGCACCTATGACTGGGGTCGTTTCCGGGGTAGTGGTATACACCACCCTGAAATCAGCACCCCGGTGATGAATTCCCTTGCCATGTGTAATACCCCAAGTGTTTGTCACCAGTTAAGCAATGGGTTTGAGCTCAAACATGACATGTTAAGTGGTGATGAAGGTGTCAAGATCAAATCTACAAGAGTGAGCTCCAACTTA